CTAACATTTAAAATATAAGTTTTATAGCAAATTTATTTAACATGTTTTTCAGGGCATCCAAGACCCCTATTTGGTAAAATTGTTTGATCCAGTTATCTCTCCCCAGTGTTACTGTATTGTTTCATTTAAGAATCCATGTGGGAAGAGAAGGGATTGAAGGTTGTTTTTTAATCTAGATATTAAATAAAAATCATTGTTTTATCACCAGTTCATAACCTAATCAATCACCTATAGCACAATTATTGTTGCAAGTCCCTCTCCACTGCTACAGCATTGCAGTCAGCCTTGTATGTCGTCCGTAGTGCTGAAACGTTCTAGCAGTGTCTGAATCATGTCAACACATTTCCCCATCAGTGTCATGAAGCAGCAGCTGAGGTGGAATGGAACAAATTTTGGAAAAAATCAAGTGGTAGCTTGTGAAGTGTTGGGGCACTCTAACAATTACTAGATCAATAAATATGAGCTCCTACTACAATCACCCAGCACAGTGTTGAAGTAATGAGTGAGATGGTAACCATGGAGTTGTGAAGTCAGTGGAGAGTTTAAAGTTGATGGTCAAGGAATTCACATGTGTGCAGACCTAACAGGAGTCACTGTTACTGACCAGCATCAGGAGACCAGATGAACAGCATTATGGCATAGAAGAGAACTTTTATATTCAGAATTGCATGTTGAAAGTATTTATTTTGTCATTTGACCACATTTAATAAGAAATAATGGTGATTAGGAACACAATGTGTTGGGTTCAGGCTCAAACCTGTCTATTTGACTGGTCAATGGCTAACTGACTAACTTTCTGATATGTGATGCCACACATTTTTCAATTCCTTTTTCTAGACCTAACTTTAAGTGTGACCTCTTGTTTCACAAGATCAGCTGTCAACCAATTGAAAAGATGGGTTAGAGCTGTAATCAAAGCGAATGCTAGTATTATTCAGCAATGATTCAGAAAAAATTTGACTGAATAATACATAATAACCATTTATATAACTGAAGATCACAAATATTTTTCCACATAACACAAAAGTATGCTGCATTCACATCCTTAAAGATGTTTGCTTTTACAACTTTGTCTTAATCTACATGCAATCCACAAAAATGATTTGATGTCTCTTCAATTAACTCCTCTGCATGAATGATTAATTACATACCTCGCATTAATATCAAATGATCCACTCTTTATATATTCATGTACCTTCAGGAGACATTTTATACAAAAAACAGGCATTTGGATGCTACCCATTGTGTATGTTTTGATAAATCTTCAGGTTGCTTCTTTGATTGAATGATTTATTGCACACATTACAGACATTTGGATGCTCCCCACTGTGTATAAGCTTTGTCTCTTTACACTGCTATTCAGACTGAATGATTTATTGCACATATCACAGCTATATGGACGCTCCCCAATATGTATGCGTTGACGAATCTTCAGGTCCCTTCTCTGATTGAATGATTTATTGCACACATCACAGGCATTTGGATGCTATCCACTGTGTATGCGTTGATGACTATTCAGGTTGATTCTTCGACTGAATGATTTATTGCACACATCACAGGCATATGGACACTCCCCACTGTGTATGCATTGATGAATCTTCAGGTCGGCTCTTTGAATGATTTATTGCACACGTCACAGCCATATGGGTGCTCCCCACTGTGTATGCGTTGATAAATCTTCAGGTTGCTGCTTTGATTGAATAATTTATTGCACACATCACAGGCACTTGGATGCTCAACACTGTGTATGTGTTGATGAATAATCAGGACGCTTCTTTGATGGAATGATTTATTGCACACATCACATGCATTTGGATGTTACCCACTGTGTATGCGTTGATGAGTATTCAGGTTGCCTCTTCGATTGAATGATTTATTACACACATCACAAGCATATGGACGCTCCCCACTGTGTATGCGTTGATGAGTATTCAGGTTGCCTCTTCGATTGAATGATTTATTACACACATCACAAGCATATGGACGCTCCCCACTGTGTATGCGTTGATGAATATTCAAGTTGATGCTTTGATTGAATGATTTATTGCACACATCACAAGCATATGGACGCTCCTCACTGTGTATGCGCTGATGAATCTTCAGGGTGCTGCTTTGATTGAATGATTTATTGCATACATCACATGCATATGGATGCTCCCCACTGTGTATGTGTTGATGTTTCTTCAGGTCACTTCTTTGATTGAATGATTTATTGCACACATCACAAGCATATGGACGCTCCCCACTGTGTATGTGTTGATGTTTCTTCAGGTCACTTCTTTGATTGAATGATTTATTGCACACATCACAAGCATATGGACGCTCCCCACTGTGTATGTGTTGATGTTTCTTCAGGTCACTTCTTTGATTGAATGATTTATTGCACACATCACAAGCATATGGACGCTCCTCACTGTGTATGCATTTATGAATCTTCAGGTCCCTTCTTTGATTGAATAACTTATTGCACACATCACAAGCATATGGACGCTCCTCACTGTGTATGCGCTGATGAATCTTCAGGGTGCTGCTTTGATTGAATGATTTATTGCATACATCACATGCATATGGATGCTCCCCACTGTGTATGTGTTGATGTTTCTTCAGGTCACTTCTTTGATTGAATGATTTATTGCACACATCACAAACATATGGACGCTCCCCACTGTGTATGCATTGGTGAATCTTCAGCTGGCATCTTCGATTGAATGATTTATTGCACATATCACAGTAATATGGATGCCCCTCACCATGTGAAAGTTGGTGTTCTCGCACATGAATCTATTGAGACAAAAGTATTAGGATAAGAAAATAGGAAAAAGAACAATGAGTTTGAAGTTAAAATTATCTGGTGTCATGGTCTACAGTAATAATGACTGTTCCAATGAACCACTTTCCAAACTTTATAGTTATAGTTATAGTTTTATAAAAACATATTTCTACCAATAGAATTATCCAGGTTTAGATTCCATATTTTGGAGAAATATAAATAGTACTTTCCAAATAGGTGTTAATATTATTTAACATTTCCACATTCAGTGAATTTTAACACACTGCAACTTTATCTTCCTAAGACAGTGCCACTCTGTAGATAAACATGTCTCTTTCTTCCACACCTCTCATCTGTTTTCCCACATTCTTCTTTCATTCTGTGTGACAACTCTTGTAACATGCTGCACCCATCTTTATTTCTCCTCTTTGGGTGCTTGTCCTTCAATTTCATGTTCAAGACATTTAGTAAAACTATCAAACAGTACACAATATTCCATGTAATTATTATCACCACTGTCAATGTCAGTAATTACAGTACCACAAATAAATCTAAAATCCCAGAAAGTATGTAAACTGTGAGTGAAGATTTTACTCCACTTCACTTTCGGGAAGTCTCTTCTTATACCACAGAGCCCCTCTCTCCTACTGACTGTCACACTGCAGTTACACAACTTTCAAACTGAAGGACAAGATGAATGACACAAAAACAACAAAGTTGTTCAGAGTGTGGATTTAAATTTTAATCTTTCAGTGATATCACTTATGATGAGAAGGCAAATGGGAATACATAATATATTCATCCTATATATGATCTACTCTAAGTGCAATCTGGTAATTCAGCATATCATATCCTTACTTCAGAAGGATGGGGTAGAGCCTGAGTGTACTGCGAAAACAAACACAGTGCTCTGATTGCATCTGTAGAATAATTAGCAGGATCTACAGATGTCAGAAGATTGGATGTGATACCATTCATAACCTAGATACAATTTCAAAATTTATTCGTCAAAAGGGACTTTTTTCATGTGGATGGACAGACACACACGAGGACAATTGACACTTTCATGGACTCACCCCCTGTTCATCGTTTATATCTGGAAATGGTATTAGCACATGATGTTCCTCAATTTTTATATCTGAGATATCCTCAGCTTTTACACTGATGACCTCATTTCCATCCTGACAAGTGTCACTGTCTGAATGAGGTTCATCTTCCACCAAATCCATAGGGTTCTGTAAAACCACCATTTACATACATGATTATTATATTGCAGAAATGTTGTTTTTATAAAACAGTTACCCTAAAACAGGAGCACATGCATGCACATACGGATACATTTGTACATACACACAAACAGATAAAAACCATAAATAATTTGGTTAAAAGGAGGCTTACCTTCCATTCTTCCTTTATAATGGCAAAAGTTGATGGTGTGTAAACCTCATCATTTCTCAATCCAACGGAATCTTCTTCACTCAGAACATCCACATCATTTTCTACCTCAATTTTATCAATTTTCTGCTGTAAAATTATGAGTTAAACATAATTCCTTGAGATGATATGCATTAAGTGCAGGTATAAACTAAATGAGAATCTACAATAGCATATTCCGAATAGAATATGGGGTGCTCTCTAGCTAATACTGAATATTTTCAGGATAAAATTGTATCTCATAATTCTTTTTCACAAAAAAATTCCAGAAGATAAGAAACTCCTGTAATGTTATGTGCGGCAAAAAAATTCATTAACCTTGTGTTGATGAAACAAGAAATTTACTGGAGTCTTACTGTAGTAATGCCAAGGTACGTAGCCTCTTACTCAAGCATCTCACATTCAATCCCCATAGATACCTTCACACTTTCCTTCATTTATAAAGGCTACTTCCACACTGTTAACTGTGTAGAGGTCATCCTCATGGTAGCCACAACATAATGAACACAAGATGGGAATCTTTTTCAATCACATTATAACATAATGACTTCAGACCTTTTTATAACTATTAGTTATGTTTGTTTCTATACACACAAACACTCACCAAGGTCCCGTTCAGAGATGTAAATATTTCTTCAGCTCTGTGCAATATAATTTTTGGCACTCGTGTTGCAATAGACTGCAGAATGTTTTTAAGATATGAAACTTGTTCATCACCCATAATGGTTTGTGGGTTAGGTAGGAATTCAGCTTCACATAAATAACACCTATATGTATCTTGGAATATCTGTCCTTGTCCTGGAAGGAAACAGCTGAATTTAGGTAGTATTAAGTGTATCAGAAAGGGGTACCAAAGTTAAGAATGCATATTAAGAAAGTTACTATAAGAATATAACAGATTAATTCAGAAATTTGTATGCTATAATTAATACATTCAAAGGCCTTAAGATAAACACAAGAAACTTCAAAAACCTCACTCTTGTTACCGAGACCTTGTATTGTTTCATGATTGAATTTTCATATCATCTCTATTAATAATGATAATGATAACTCTCTGTGCCATTTACTTTTACAATAGAACTGCCTTTATTTAAGCTCCATTGATCTTTCATAGGCCTGAACTTGTTTAACATGAAATAACACTATAAAACACAATACTATTTCTCATACAAATATACATTGTATAACAATCGAGGTGGGGTTTAACGTCAAAGCGTTAAAAACAAAACAAAAAGTTGTTCCAATTTTAATACCAACTAAATGTTTACGCACAATAAAGAACACTTCGGATAATGATCAATTGCTACCTGGCTACGCGACGCTATACCAAAAAATGACTGTCAGCTTCCCCCACTTCCTTTAACGGGTTACCACAGGAACAAAGAAAAACGAAAGCGTGTTTTAACGATTCATTCTCAATGGAGTTACCACAGTTCATACATGTCGCGCTATATATTACCAAGCTTCGCTGACCGTGGGACGACTAATATTTTTCTCCCTTCCCGCTCACGTTGACATAAGATCACAAATATTCGCTAAAGTGATCTGAGATATAAATCCCTATTCCGGACCTCGGCTATCTGCGACTAACATGACTCCTGATAAAGGACTTTGGCGGTTGGTCACACTGAGCCAATTATCATTTAAAACTGGACAACGCAAAATTATGTGGTCAGACATTTAGCGTCGTGAGTGGCTTTGTATGGTGTCCACGTTCCAAACGAAAACTGCTCATGTAAACTACTTACCACATGTTCCACCTCCAAAAGGCAACTGAATTGTTTGTCGAAATTTTGGTTAACATGAAACATTTATCTCCAGCCGCGAAAACCCACGGTCAAGCACTATTATGCAGAAAAATTATCGCTGACTGGGAACGGAGGCTCATATCATTGTCTGCGTTTATTCAGAAGTACGAAACAATATCAGTAGGATCCTTTCAAGCTACTTTCCACTACAATACACCAATCATGATGTGTGATGAACAATTTTCATACCCTAAAGAAATTATGCAGTCTCTTGCAACACGAGTGCCAAAAATTATATTGCACAGAGCTGAAGAAATATTTACATCTCTGAACGGGACCTTGGTGAGTGTTTGTGTGTATAGAAACAAACATAACTAATAGTTATAAAAAGGTCTGAAGTCATTATGTTATAATGTGATTGAAAAAGATTCCCATCTTGTGTTCATTATGTTGTGGCTACCATGAGGATGACCTCTACACAGTTAACAGTGTGGAAGTAGCCTTTATAAATGAAGGAAAGTGTGAAGGTATCTATGGGGATTGAATGTGAGATGCTTGAGTAAGAGGCTACGTACCTTGGCATTACTACAGTAAGACTCCAGTAAATTTCTTGTTTCATCAACACAAGGTTAATGAATTTTTTTGCCGCACATAACATTACAGGAGTTTCTTATCTTCTGGAATTTTTTTGTGAAAAAGAATTATGAGATACAATTTTATCCTGAAAATATTCAGTATTAGCTAGAGAGCACCCCATATTCTATTCGGAATATGCTATTGTAGATTCTCATTTAGTTTATACCTGCACTTAATGCATATCATCTCAAGGAATTATGTTTAACTCATAATTTTACAGCAGAAAATTGATAAAATCGAGGTAGAAAATGATGTGGATGTTCTGAGTGAAGAAGATTCCGTTGGATTGAGAAATGATGAGGTTTACACACCATCAACTTTTGCCATTATAAAGGAAGAATGGAAGGTAAGCCTCCTTTTAACCAAATTATTTATGGTTTTTAT